TTTGAATTCATCATGTTCTTCGCTCTGATATGTAACAATTTAACTCTAGGCTAGTTCTCAATGTCTCTGGACCAGTGGTTCTCAATATGTGGTCTCTAGACCATTATCATCAATGTTACTTGTAAAAATATTAGAAAGGTAAATTTCAGGGCTCTACCCCAGACCTACTGAGTCAGAATCTCTCAGTGTGGGCCCAGCAATCTGTGTTTTAACAATTCGTCTAAGTGTACACAAAAGATTGATTGTCACTGCTCTTGTCTGACACTTTTTTTCCACTCCCATAACTATCCCTTTGTTTGAGGTCATCACTGTCTTTCATCTAGACTATTGCAATAGCATCCTAACTGGTTTTCCTACTTCATGTTATTATGCAGTTGAATTCTCCTCACAACTTCCATTGGACTAATCTTTCAACAGTGCATTAAAAAAATCAAGAACTCCTCATTGCCTAATGAATTAAGCATAAACTATTAGTCTGGTTGTCCATGACCTCTTTATACTGTGTCTAACCATCCTCCTCAGTCTTATCTTCCACAACTAAGCTTAATGTTCCATGCCCTCTATTTCATAAGCAAACTAAACTTACTCTACATTGAACACACTGTGTACTCTTTGCATAGGTTTATCCTGAATTGGTACTTCTTCTGTGTTGTTAGAATGACCGCTAAATTCACTTACCATATACTCACTTTCAACCCAGTATCCATGAACATATCTGTCCATCATTAAACAGTATGCTCCTTGAATCCATTACATCTTATCTAGCAATAGAGCCCCATAGTACCAAACATTGTGATTTGAAAATAGTATATGATTGGTAAGAATTCAGCCAGTTTGATCCCTTTTCTCAGCTCTACCTTCATTAGTTCATTAAGATCCACCTCAACTACCATCTCTCTCAAATTGCTGACTCCCCTTCTCCAATTTGGCTCCTGGGAAGATGGAGAGGGATAGAGCTGCCATAAGCCATAGGAGTAAATAATCAGTTTGTTTTTGCCTTCCCATTTTTCTTCCTGTGCTTCTGTCTCCTGGTACCTTCTTTTCCTGATAGTATTCCTCACTCCCAGCCATGCCACTATGTTCAGATGTCCTAAAGCAGAGAGAGTTGAGAAAAGATGTCTCCCTTCATTCATTCTATCGACTTTAACTAGGGCTCTAAAATGATCTCTGATTCATTTTTATAATTCTGATTCTCCCCATTAAAACTGCCATTTTCTCACATTGATTTCACATACATTAAGAAAAATTAAGCTTTCTGAAAGCCATTAGATACTCTTTGGTAACCTTAATGAAATGGGAAGAGGCAGTATTTCATGTATTTTAAGGTCTGTATTTGGGGAAAACAGAACTTCTAGTACTTCTTAAATGCATCTATTCCATTATGAGTAAGTCCTTGTCAGGTAAATAGCAAAGACATGTCTTTCTGGCTTCAGTCCATTCCTTCAGAGACCAGAAGAAGAAACTAGCTATTCTTCCATTTCTTTTGTCCATCAACCCTCAAAATTTGGCCATTCAAGTCTAATATATATAAGGATGGAAATAACTATTGATATTAATGTTTTTACCATTTCATATCTGTATATTTAATATGTTTTTTATTTCTTACTTCATTTGATCCTTACTATAATCTTGAGGATAAAATAAGATAGGCATTTACTTCCTAATTTTGGAAATGAGGCTCTGAGAGGTAAAGGGGTATATCCAAGATCACACAACTAGTTTTGTGCTCAGCTAGAACTCAAAACAAGTTTTGTGGTTTTAAGTTAAGAACTTTCTATTCTCAGCATACTGCTCCTCATTGATGGCTAAAAAATTACCACCCCAGACAGCTGCATTTGGACAGCCAATTCCTCAGCCAATGTGAACTGAGGATCCTAGTGCTCATTGCTTTCTGGGTTTTGGAATTTCTTGTTATGGATAGTTCTTGTTGGAGACATGGGAGTACCTAACTTGGTATTCTTCACCAAATAATAAATCTAGGTGCTGCCAGTGAATTTTCAGGATACGTTTTTGCTCTACTCAATTGTGTTTTCTTGTTGACCTTTAAAGGGCTATACTGAAATTAGTTCTTACACTGAGTCTATGATCTACCCATATTCAGTCCCAACCTATTTTTGTTTGTTTTATCACCATACATTTTCCCCAGGCTATTCTCCTTCATGAACCTTCACCATGGACTCAATCACAGAAGAGTCACATTCCAACTTACTATTATTCTTCATAACCCCTACTAAGAGGAGTTTGCTTTAGATATCAAAGGCCACTGCTAAGACTTTCAGCACTTCCAGAACTTCCCTACTCCATAAGCAAACATACAGACTATTAAATATTCTAAATCCTTATTTTAATCAAAAGAATATTACTGAATGATCAAATTTCAGAATTAGCAGGGACTTTTGAACTACTTTAACCCAGTCTTTCAGCACTATGTTTTATAGATATAACATATACCTCCTGAACTCATTAATAGAAGGGAGAAGGATAAAATGGAAGATATTCCCCCATCTATTAACTCCATTATTTTTTCATTTTATACATTTAATTTTAGATAATAACTCTTTGTTTTGAGGGGTAGTTTTCCTTTTAAAAACTAATATAGTTTAAGTGCCTTAAATTACAAATAATGAAGTAAATATTCAGAGAAATCACATGTTCTGCCTATTACTCATAAAGTTAGGCATAAAATTCAGTCTTCTAAATCCACTGCTCTTTCTGCTAGGATTACCTCAACATTAATTGAGCATCTCCATGAAGATGTAGTAGTATTAAACATATTTTATGATTGCAATAAGTATTTATTTTTGTGTTTATAAACAGATATTTCTGAAGCAAATATCTTTACATCCTTGTATCTTCTCATACTGTCTAGCATAATGGAAGCTCAATATCATTACTTGATATAATTAATAAATAAGCAAAGTGTCAGACATGTTTTATCTCTGTGTTTGTTTTCATTATGACAATAGAGCATAATTATCTCTATAGGGCCCTAAATGGGGTCATTATTGTTCTCAGTTGTCTTTATTAATTTAGAGAAAATAATACTTTGAAAGGTAACAATGTGATAAGTCAATTAATATATAATTGAAAATATTGATTTGTAATGTCATATCTTGATTCACTATGGTAAATAAAATATATAATTAAGTGGGTCACTTGATGCATGATTTCCTGAAGGATACACACAAATTCATGCACAATATAGAATGAAAAGTCACAAAGTAGTCTTCATCACAAACTCTATTGCCTAGGTCTGTCACTTCTATGGTGGAGAATAAATTCTACCCATTTTAAATATCTGTGGGTCACAATATTGTAACATAATTTATCTCAAAATAATACCCTGTTTTCAATATTCTATATCTTAGTGATTTATTAAAAAGCATACATATATTTTTTGAGAAGAATATAAAACTTAGTAATGAAGTAATAGCATGTTTTTGGGTGATTGAAATAAACCCTCTTTGGTTGTTTAACTATTACATAAACCACTGATATCTCCAGAAGTAAAAGTAATTAATCATCTTTGTAAGTAACAGTATAAATTCTTAAAGAAAACTATACTCTGATAATAAAATTTCAGAGCCTGTCAGGCATATTTTAGGTGTTAACAACTTACTTAAACATATACATATATATTGATGTTTGTGTGTGTATGTGTATAAATAGATAAATATGAGTAGAATTAAATAGTTAACTATTATAAATAAGTAGCAATGAATTAAGGTAAGCTAACAACATTTTGCTTTAGGAAGTTGAATTGTCAAGGGTAATTATGTTTCCCATGTAGAAACTATTTAGAATTTATCATATCACATTTCATATATCTTGAAAACTACTTCAAATATGCACTATTAGATATAATATGATAATACATTTTAATGTCTTACAAAGTGTAGCAATTGTAAAACCATGATATTATTGGGTGTATTCTCACAAATATATTTATCAGAATATTTTTGAACATGTTTTCCTATTTTTATAGGAATCAATACTTACCTGATGCATCATATTTTCTCATAAATATTTCAAGAGTGTTTCTTATTTAAGGTTACTTCCAGCAACTATCTATATACTTATATGCATATATTTCTTTTATATACATTTTTATATTTGAAAGCATATCGTATATATTGAAAAAATGTCAAATTATATAAATTTGGGGGTAATTCCTTGCATTTCAAGTATTCCCCAAGAGTTGAAATTCTATAATATTCTATTTATATATTTTTGCAAACTACTTATTAGGTAAGAGTTTGTGTTCATTAAATGTTACACAAATAAAAAGGCTATCATGCAAAAATTCTGTATCCCCTGGGTCTTCATTAATAATAAATACAAATGAACATATAAAATTACAAAAATTAGGATATATAAGCTTTGCAATTATTTGTCTCCATGGCTTGAACATTTCATATGTCTAATAGATATTGTCACAGTAAGTGTTTGCAGCTAGCAAGAGCAAGTTAAATAAACATACGTGCACAACCCAGAAAGAGGTACAAACAAACATCCTAGATCGTGCAGGAGATGTACAAGGCCTCATTTTTGATATTTAATCTACATTACATACAAGCAATATTATATCTGGAAAAATATATCAGCAGTGCTTTCTTTTGATAGATGTCTTTTGTGCTTTTTTTTTTTTTTTTTTTTGGCCTGCAGCATGCTGTTTGTTACTTTGCTGTAGGTGATCCCTGAAAGTACATATGTAAACGAATGCAGAGTGCAGTTCTAGCATAGCTGTGGCAGAAAAAAAAATTAGAAAGAAAGAGAGAGAGAGAGAGAGAGAGAGAGAGAGAGAGAGAGAGAGAGAGAGAGAGAGAGAGAGAGATTGATCTCCCATGATAGTCAGTGGTAAATTTTCCTTAAATACATTTGGCCTTCATTTTCCTTTTGCAAACCTTGCCGCGGGGCTTGCTTGCCCCCTTCAGAGCACTGCGCAACCTTCGCATGAGATCATTTAGCACTAGTTTCCACCTTGGAGTAGATCTTCCTACCTTTCCAGTCTTAATTCTGTGAGAAATAGCTGCAAATCGATGGTTGAGCTCTGAGATTTGGGGCTCTACTACTTTCCTGCAGTGTTCTCCACGGTTTGCCATCAAGTTTGCTGCTTGGTCACGTGTAGAGTCCACTTTTGGGCGTATGTCATTCAGTTCAGCCTTTAAATGCTATATTCCATGAGCAAGAGACAGGGCTTGAAGTTAGTAATTAATGGAAGGAGGGGAGTCTGGGAGAGGGTGGGTGGAGGGAGGGGGAGGGGGAGAGAGAAAGAGAGAGAGAAGAAGAAAGGAGGGGAAGCACATGCAAAAGAATAGTAAGGGAGGAAAAAACCTAACTTCCATAAAATAGGTTGATGCATGCCTATTTGAAATGCTTGGTTAGTCTGAGAAATGGCTAGAGATGTTTTCCTTACTTCTCTATGTTGTCTGCAGCCGTCATGATGTTTTATATTCAGTATTATTTTATCTTATTACTGAATTTAATAGCTGTGGAACAACCTAAGTATGTGCTCAGGAAGGAAGGTAGCTGAAAAACACTTTTCTATTCCTTCCTGGTACTTTTGAGCTCCTTTTTGTTTATTATATTGAGATTCATGGGAAAAAATGATTTTCTAATAGATATGGATTCTGTGTGATACATGGAAGTATTAAGGAATACTCTGCCTGACCCAAGGGGTCACAGATTATAAGTTAACTAACACAGTTATTATTCTAAAGGTCTTGAAGAAATTTCACCATAAGATAACATCCTGAGGGATCAAGGGAAAATGAAGAGCAGAGAAAGGATAGGGAACCTGCAACCTTCTAATTTCAAGATTGTTCCTTTTTAAGCACCAAAGGAAGCAAGAAAAACTTCATCTTTCTTTGATGCACACCTTTTAATAAAATGATTTGTTCTGTAAGATTTGGATTCAGTCAAAAGGGCATACTCAAGGATCCAGGGGGCCACATGTGGCCCCAAGCCTGCAGGTTCCCCATCCTGTAATCCACCAGTAAAATACCATTATTGAAAATTTCGGCAAAAAAATAAAGAACATTAATTTAAAAGAGACTTGTTAAAATTGAACTCTTTCTATTCAATTGAGAAACGAGCTGTCATCAAATAGAGACAATGTAGAATCAATAAGGGATATTTACATATTATACCTCTCATACACTTTTACAGAAAGCAATTTTTAAAGCAAAGGTTAAGTTGCCTTTGAGAAAGAAGACTTTGGACATCCTAATAATTAGTTTTAATACAAAAAGAGAGTGCCTGGAGCAATGTTTACTTAACATGTAGTTAAAAATGAGAAATTCAGTTTTACATAAGGCCTACATTAGGACTAATTATTAAGAATTGGATATTGCATAGGTAAAATATCCAGACAATTGGATTTCAATGAATAATAGTAGGCAACTGTTTTTTCTGTTAGATATAAGAATGTGGTACAACCACTAAAATTGGCAGGGATTTGCAATATGATGCCAAAATACATCCTGGAATCCATTTCTGGAGCAAATTTTAAATTGGGTATAATTAGTAGAGAGGTGCATTTGGACAGCTATCCAGATTACAAAACTCTTCAGTATCATTAATTCCCACTCAAAGGAGGGAGAGAGGGAGGAAGGGAGGAAGAAAGGAAGAACAGAGGGAGGGAAGGAAGGATTGTTTTACTCTTATTAAGAAGTGCTTGGTATCTTCTAGGACAAAGATGATTGATATAATTGTGCATTTTGAAATTACTTTTCATAATATTTTATTTGCTACCTTAAGAACATCTTCTTTTTGCTGAGGTTTCTTTTTTTCAGATTCATCCAAAAGTGTATCAGCCTGAATGATCCACTTTGTGATGTGATTCACATTCTGATCAAAGGTTTCCATGTGTTTCTGGTATTCCTTAATTATACAAATACATACCATGACATAATTGGTTAGACAATAGTTCCAAAGGATTTGCCTTACTTTCTATAATTTTAAACATACAAAAAGTATAGTATAATTCAAATTACTTTTAACTGAGACTTTACATAGAATATAACAGAAACTTGGAGAAAGATACATTAAAATATAGTTACAGATATAGTACATATGTTTAGTTGAAGAATTCTCAAACACTATTATTACTGAATGGTTATGTATTTTTTTTTTCTTATTACAAAGAGGGGTAGAAAATCTAGCCTCCAGTCTTACCAACAAAAGGTTTAACCACTCTTCTGCTCGGGAAGTGACAGCTATCCAGTTACTATTCAGAAGACTGAGTTTATCTTCCACCAAGGTCTCCTTCTTACCCAGAACCGTTTTTAAGGCCTCCCCTAGCTCTGTGACACTCTTCAGGTGAACCTTCTGTTTCTCAATCTCTTTCTGAGTAGCCTGTGAAAAAGATAGAATTGAGCTTCGAGTAATGTACTGTGGCCTTAAAAATTAATGTTTACAGATGGCTGCACATATGGTTACTATGGTAAAATTTGGCAAAAGTTTAAATCTATAACCATGTATTCATGAACCATGAAAATCATACCATACATATTGCAGTTTCATTATTCGGTATATATGAACATATATTTATACATAAACATGATGCATTTCTTATTCATGATTATACATGTTTAATAAGTATACACATTGTCCAAATAAATGTTTATATTTCTTTAATTTGCACATGTAGTGGATAAAGGTAGATATTTGAAAACCCATCTGTAAATAAGGAAGTGCTTTTAGAAAATTCAGCAAGTATGGTGCTATTGTATTTCTAGAGCAGGAATCTTCAGCCTTTTGGTGTCATGGACCTCTTTGGCATCTGGTGAAGCTTAAGGATTCCTCATAATAATCATTTTACAATCATAAAATATGATTTTGAATGAAACCAATTGTACAAAGATACAATATATAAAATATCTTTTAATTATGCTGTAGTAATACATGCTTTCTTTATTAATGTGTTAACTAACAAGATCTAGCATCGGGTCTTTAGGATAATTTCAAAGTAGTGATGAGCATAACTGGCATTTTTAAGCATATCTAATGATTTGAACATTATATAAAATTATCTGTCATTTCTATTGGTGACAAAGGCACAGGTACTGCTATCACTGGGTTTGTTACTCACATGTAAAATTGAGAAAATGTTTAATTTCAGTTTTAGGTGAATGAAAATAAAGAACTATTTTTTTCCAAATCCAAGTTTATAGACCTCAACTCTATACACATATCCCAAATTAAATTCCTCTAAGAGAGCACCACTATTTCCTAAGACATGGTTAAGAGAACAATGAAAACATTCACAAGGAGGTGAGCCAGAGCCCAGTAGATCCTTTCTCAAGATTAACTGAGTGATACAGAGGTTGTGATTGGCAAATGAGCTAAAAATCCATTTGCAAATGGAGCTAATATTTTCATCACATAAAGCCAAAGCAAGACAAAATTGCTGAGTAGGAGCAACAAGAAGAAAGTAGAGGATGCCCAAGTGCAAAGAGTCAAATGTAATAAATGCACAGAGAACAACTGAGGTAGTCCATGTAAAAGAGAGAGAGATGGTTAAGACCAGCTTACATCTAATTTCTTACTCCTAGGTGCTCTTAACATGTCTTTTCTATCTTCATAATATACCTAAGTAGTCTTTGTGGCTGTCTTTCCTCCACACCATCAGGTCCTGGCCCATGCAAAATCACTTCATAAATGTTTTGCTTTTGCCTTTGACATCAAATAAGCAGGGGGAATAAATGAAGTTAAAAATTTTATGAAACATTTCTATATAAGACAGAATCACTGTTTCTTCAATCCTAAGATATTGTTTTGTACATATGTTTGTATTTTTCAATATAAAAAGTACATGAAATTAAGGTAATTAATGACAAATGAACTTATCAGCTACCATGCATAGGGAGATTTGTAATGTAGGTGTCATTTGTTGCACACAAGTGAGCTTAACAATTCATAAAATCAATTTCTTCATATAGCAATCATAAATGTTTACTAAGCTCCTACTAAATGCCAGTTATTACTGTAACAAAGTCATAGGCAATTCTACTCCATGGTTTGTTTTTGTTTTTTTTGAAAATTATGAGAAGTACCTCCTTTGGGTGGACACAGTCCATTCCTTTGGAACTTGACTTGGGGGCAGACAGGGACTAGATTTCAACCCTTTCAATCCCTTTCTTTACCCTTGCATAGTATACAACATTTACAACCATAGATATTAGCCATTGTTCTAGGCGCTATGGGTAAAATGGTAAAGAACCAAAATCCCTATCCTTTGAAAACATATTGAGTATGAGTTTGTCAAAGACATGAAAATATATACAAATGATGATTTTCTATTTTCTATATTCCAGTCTAGTGACTTATCATGCCAGCAGATTTATTTGCAAAAGGTAACACCTCAAATAGTTGAATTTTATTTTATATTTGTATCACTAATTATCTCTTAAATTCCTTCATAAAAATGATATTGTGTGTTTTAGTGTCAATGTAAAAAGTTAAGGCATACACAGATTTTTGTTTTTTTTTTTTTTTTTTTTTTTTTTGAGACAGAGTCTCCCTCTGTTGCCTCCCAGCTAGAGTGCCCTGGAGTCAGTCTAGCTCACAACAACCTCAAACTCCTGGACTCAAGTGATCCTCCTGCCTCAGCCTTCCGAGTAGCTGGGACTACAGGCATGCACCACCATGCCTGGCTAATTTTTTCTATATATTTTTAGTTGGCCAATTAATTTCTTTCTATTTTTAGTAGAGATGGGGTCTTGCTCTTGCTCAGGCTGGTTTGGAATTCCTGACCTTGAGCGATCCACCCACCTTGGCCTCCCGGACTGCTAGGATTACAGGTGTGAGCCACCACGCTTGGCCCAGATTTTTGTTTCTTACAGACCAGGCAATGCAATTAAAGGCAATGTAAATTTCTAAACTTTAGAAGAGATCAGAGAAGTTTTGATGTCCAATGATATTTCATTTACTTAATGGGGACAATAAAATAGGAAATGTGGGCTAATTTCTAGTGCTTTTTTAAATTCCTCAAAAATTATAAGATAAAATTAAAAGCTGTTAGTTATCGCCATCATGAACATGTGTTTGTAAAAAGCAATGATCATTATGATGGTTTATAACTGCTAATGGTCAAAAGTGATTCACAGGAAAATTTACTTTCTGATTGTTAAAAAATGAGAACTAGAGTTAAATCTTTATATGTGGTATTTAAAAATAAACTGGAATTTAATCATTTGCATAAATGCTATTTTTGGTTAGGAAAAATATTGTGTTAATTTAATAGATATTTTATTATTTCCTCAAATGTGTTTTAATCAAAGGTATGACTTAATAAATAATATCTTACTTAAATATGATATTTAAGGCCTTTAGAAAGCAATAGCTTTCTGAAAGGCTTACCTAAATATCAATAGTTAATGTACATCAGGTGCCTAATAACCAGTCTGCACTGTGGTATTCACTACCAGAGATAAGTAAGGAAGTGATTTTTGCATGCCCTATTCTAATAGTGCATATAGTGTAGCTGCAGAGAAAAGCTTAAATGCAAGAAAATAATTTCATATAATACTAGAAGGAACATAATTTTTTTTGTTTTTTAATTTCAGCATATTATGGGGGTACAAATGTTTAGGTTATGTGTATTGCCTTTGTAACACCTGAGTCAGAGCTTCAAGCATGTTCATCCCCCAGACAGTGAGTGCCACACCCATTAGGTGTGAATATACCCTTCCCCTTCTCCCCCTCCCACCTGCCCAACACCCGATCAATGTTATTACTATATGTGCCCTTAAGTGTTGGTAAGTTAATACCAATTTGATGGTGGGTACGTGTGGTGCTTGTTTTTCCATTCTTGTGATACTTCAGTTAGTACAATGGGCTCCAGCTCTATCCAGGGTAATACAAGAAGTGCTAGATCACCATTGGATTTGTGGCTGAGTAGAACTCCATGGCATACATATACCACATTTTATTTTATTAATCCACTCATGGATTGAATTGTTTCTACATCTTTGCAATTATAAATTGAACTGCTATAAACATTCTAGTGCAGATGTCTTTTTTATAGAATGTCTTTTGTTCTTTTGAGTAGATGCCTAGTAGTGGGATGCGGGATCAAATGGTAGTTCTATGTGTAGCACTGAAATTGAGATGAAACAATTTATATTTAACTTTAATGTGGTAGTGTTTTTATTTTGACGCATACCAGCTGTAATCAAATCATTGGTGCATCATACAATCTAATATGTCTTAAATGTGATGAAATATGATGTTAATTTCTTTTTCAGGCCCCTATATTACCCTATCATAGCTAGAGGTTTAGGACATATTTTACTATTAGGCTAATGTGACGGAATAATATAAAGATAAATTTTAAAAGAACATAAAACATTAAATAGTGTATTTTATAGCAGTGTGTATTGACTTTTTATTAATAATGTATTGTCTATTAAAAAGAATTTCATGAAAGCAGAATGTGCAGAACAGAAATTATAGCTATAACTATAATGACAGTGAATAGTGACTCCAATGGCATTTAACAGATGTTCTATTTTCTAAGTAACAGCTGCTTGATGCATTCATTGTACCAAGTTAATGATCTGCTAGTGTTATTTCACTTCACAGATAAATTACTGTGCTGTCTTTAAAAAAAGATATATAATTTTTCATGGGAATGATAGTGTAACAGACTTTAGAAATAAGTAATAGTTCTTATGCTTTTATAGCTAAGAGGAGTGATGAGTTGAAGCAATTATTCAGATAATCTAGGACCAGAGACTAGATCTCTTTAAACTGTGAAAACTGATTGTTTTAAAAAAAATATAGGACATGGTTGACTGAACTGAATGTAGATCTCATCAGAGAGCTTGAAATTCATGGATCTTGTATCACATTATCCAGTGAGTCTCAACTTTGCCAAATATTAGAGCCACTGGCTACACTCAGACCAATTAAATTAGAGTCTCTGGGGGGAGACCCCAGGCATTGTTATGCTTCTCAAGTTTCCCTGGTGATTTCAGGGTGGAGCCAATGTCGAGAATCACTGACAAACAGAAAGACACATTCTATCATGAGTTTTCATTGAGTGATAGTCATTAAATTCTAGGAGTAAAGTAGATGTAGAAGGATAATTGAAGAAACTAATAACTTTTCTTTCTGATGTTAAATATTACAAAAATTGTCTCCAAAATAAATGCTAAAAGCACAATAACTTGTTATGTAAGTACTACTAAGACAATTATTATTTTGCATTATGAAAGACCCTGAATTAAATTTACCATTTTTTGTGCATCTGATACTCTCTGGCAACTCTTGGTGTACTAAGACTACTGTTAATAAAATCTAGTCATCGATTTCTGAAAATTGGTAGATGTGAATGACCCAAAAATCTAATG